TTTATTTTACAGTTAAAACAGATGTCTATCAAATAAAGTCTAATGTTACAACTAATCAGGGATCCCTTTAAACACTGTATGAATGACTTAGTTAAAATAGACATGCAGTCTATTTTTCAGAGTATCTTATGAGACCGTCTGTCCGACCGTTTTCTGCCGCTTATCCGGAATCGGGTCGCGGGGGCAGCAGCCTAAGCAGAGAGACCCAGACTTCCCTCCCTCCAGCCACTTGGGCCAGCTCGTCCGAGGGAATCCGTAGGCATTCCCAGGACAGCCGAGAAACATAGTCCCTCCAGCGTGTTCTGGGTCTTCCTCTGGGCCTCCTCCCYGTGGGACATGCCCYGAACACCTCACCAGAGAGGTGTCCAGGAGGCATCCTAACCAGATGCCCGAACCAGAGAGTCCAACTCTCAACGGAAACGAGTCCGACTAACTACTGGCAATGTGGACCAAGCTCTGGCACCGGTCATACAGGGACCTAACAGCCCATATCAATGGGCCTGGTACCCCATACTCCCGGAGTACCTCCCACAGGAGTTCCCGAGGGACACGGTCGAACCCTTCTCCAAGTCCATAAAACACAAAAACACATGTGTGTTGGGCAAACTCCCATGCGCCCTCCAGGACCCTGCTGATGGTGTAGAGCTGGTCCACTGTTCCATGACCAGGATGAAAAACCACACTGCTCTTCTTGAATCCAAGATTTGACTATCTGATGGACCCTCCTCTTCAGGACCCCTGAAAAGATCTTACCAAGGAGACTAAGAAGTGTGATCCCCCTATAGTTGGAACACACTCTGCGGCCCCCATTTTTAAATAGGGGGACCACCACCAGTCTGCCAATCCAGGAGAACTGCCCCCGATGTCCACACAATATTGTAGAGTCGTGTCAACCAATGCAACCCCACAACATCCAGAGCCTTAAGGAACTCCGGGCGAATCTCATCCATCCCCGGCACCCTGCCACCAAGGAGCTTTTTAACCACCATGGTGACCTCGGCACCAGAAATTGGAGAGTCCGACCCAGGGTCCTCAGGCTCTGCTTCCTCATGGGAATACGTATCTGTGGGATTGAGGAGGTCTTCGAAGTATTCCGGCCACCGACCCACAACGTCCTGAGTTGAGGTCAGCAGTGCACCATCCCCACCATAAATAGTGTTGGTGGCGAACCTCTCCCCCCCACCCACCCCCTCCCCTAGACGCCGGATGGTGGACCAGAATCACCCCGAAGCCATACAGAAGTCTATTTCCATGGCCTCTTCGATCTCCCATGCCCATTTTTTTGCCTCAGCGACCACCCAAGCTGCAGTCTGCTTGGACTGCCAATACCTATTGGCTGCTTCCGGAGTCCCACAGGCCAAAAAGACCCAATAGGCCTCCTTCTTCAGCCTGACAGCATCTCTCACCGCCGGTGTCCACCAGCGGGTTCGAGGGTTGCCGCCATGACAGGCACCAACAACCTTACAGCCACAGCTCTGGTAAGCCGCCTTGACAATGGAGACACGGAACATGGCCCACTCGGACTCAATGTTCCCCACCTCCCCTGGAAKGTGTTCGAAGTTCCCCCAGAGGTGTGAGTTYATGCTCCGTCTGARGGGAGACTCTGACAGACATTCCCAGCAGACCCTCACTGTACATTTGGGCCTGCCAGGTCTGACCGGCATCCTCCCCCACCAACGGAGCCAACTCACCAACAGGTAGTGMTCAGTTGACAGCTCCGCCCTGCTCTTCACCCGAGTGTCCAAAACATGCGGCCGCAGATCAGATGAAACGACAACAAAGTTGATCATCAAACTGCAGCCTAGGGTGTCCTGGTGCCAAGAGCACATATGGACACCCTTATATTTGAACATGGTGTTCATTATGGACAATCTATGATGAGCACAGAAGTCCAATAACAAAACACCGCTCGAGTTAAGGTCGGGGGCGTGTTCCTCCCAACCACGACTTTCCAGGTCTCACTGCCATTACCCACGTGAGCGTTGAAGTCCCCCAGCAGAATGAGGGAGTCCCTGTTAGGAGCGCTCTCCAGCACCCCCTCCAAGGACTCCAGAAAGGGTGGGTAATCTGAACTGCTGTTAGGTGCATAGGCACAAACAACAGTCAGGGCCCATCCCCCCACCCGTAGGCGYAGGGAGGCTACCCTCTAATTCACCAGGGTGAACCCCAACGTACAGGCACTGAGATAGGGGGCAATAAGTATGCCCACTCCTGCTCGGCGCCTTTCAGCATGGGCAACTCCAGAGTGGAAGAGTGTCCAGCCCCTCTCGAGGAGACTGGTTCCAGAGCCAGAGCGGTGCATCGAGGTGAGTCCAACTATATCTAGTTGGAACCTCTCAAACTCACACACCAGCTCAGGCTCCTTCCCCACCAGAGAGGTGATATTCCACGTCCCTAGAGCCAGCTTCTGTAGCTGAGGATCGGACCGCCAAGGTCCCCGCGTTCGACCACTGCCCAACACACATTGCACCCGACCCCTACGGCCCCTCCCACAGGTGGTGAGCCCATGGGAAGGGGGACCCACGTCTCCTCTTCGGGCTGTGCCCGACCAGGCTCCATGGGTGAAAGCCCGGCCACCAGGCGCTCGCCAACATGCCCCACCTCCAGGCCTGGCTCCAGAGTGGGGCCCAGGTGACCCGCGTCCAGGCGAGGGAACACTCAGTCCATTTATAGTACTCATCATTAGGGGTCTTTGGGCTGCACTTTGTCTGATCCCTCACCTAGGTCCTGTTTGCCTTGGGTGACTCTACAGGGGTCATGAAGCCCCCAACAACATAGCTCCTAGGATCATTGGGACACTCAGACCTCTCCACCACGATAAGGTGGCAGCCCAAGGAGAGACTGTAAGATGCATTTCAATGAAACTCAGAAGACAATTATTATCGGCCTTACATCTACAACTGATTAACTTTTGGAGTCAAACCAATTCAAGATGGCTGCTGTAGCTAACTGACTGCAAACACAAAACTGACTACAACTCTGTCAGTTTAAAAATTAGGCAAAATTTGGTGTGTAGACAGGCATTCTCTTCACACTCTGAGGGCTAACAGATCATTCAAGGCAATGAGCAATATACTTTCATTCAAGAAATGGAGCCTATGCGTAAATTCAGACTGGAAGACTCCCTGCCTCACTCCTCTTCATTCATTCATGTCAATAAAACTCTTTAACTGCTTCCATTTCTGTGTGAGTCTTTCCAGATTGAAATGCTAGATTAATTGAATTTATTTATTTAGTCATCTAAACATACACCACCTGATCCAACCAGAAACCATGGATGAGCTCAGATGTTAAGAGAAGTTTGAAAGGAACAATTAAACCTCTGTTAGGAAGGACCGACTTATCTCCAAACATCATGAAGGCTAAGGTGGGGGTAAAAAAATCAAGGACAAATTCTGCATTTCCTTGGACAAAAAGTGCATACAGCAGGAATTAAAGCCATAACGAACTATAAAGTAAAGACAGCAATGGAGTCAGGGAGAAGCCTCTCTTTCTGACAGGCTGAAAATGGTTTGTAGCCTGTTTGAAGTTTTGAATAACACAGCAGGGATGAAAACCACCCACTGATGGTGAGCAGGTGTTGATATGGAGCACATCTGGTTAAGAACACTGTGCAACAATAATCTGTATGTAGCTGAAGTACCTGATTATATTCCAGATTGCATTGTGAAAGACCGTGTTGGTGTCCTTTGAGTTGTCTTCATTTACAGATATCTTAAGAATAAAACTAACTTCCCTCAGTGACTACTACCCTTTGGTTTTGGCTTTTGTGATGAATTGCTTTGACTGATCAAGGGTTCTACATGTTTTTTTCTGTGTTCACGTGCACAAGCCTTTGAGAACATTTATATCCATACGTGCTCATATTCATACTATTTTTAGGTCAGCTGCAGTACGGGGACAGAGTCAGGGCTCAACAGTTTTTTTTCTACTCCAACCAAATAATTTTCATTAAAAACTGATTTGTCCATTGTCTAATTGAAAGAAATGAAGAAAGTGTTCCGAGTGAATCCGAGTGTTATCAAGAATTCAATACAGATTTTGTGCTCTTGTAATCACTGATTAATTTGTCAGAATGTGATTAACAGCAAGCTCTTCAAACATTATTTCTTCAAACCAAGCATCGTTTTTTTTTCTTTTTCTGCTCCTGCTCTGACCCATACTTGCTGGTTTGTTTCATTTTCGTGCCACTTTTTGAATGCATTTTGGTCCCATTTACACAATGCAGATTTGGGTCTAAGTTTTCTGCCTCGAATTAGCTGATTGTGTGCATGACACCATCTGTTGTTCCCTCTGAAATCAGAAGTTTCTGAATCCTGGGCTCAGAGTGGAGATTTTCTGGAGCACCCCTCTGCAGTGGTGTGAAAAACCCTGCTGGTGTTAAATCACACATGAGGGCCTGATGGCAGTCTACCGGCCCGTGGGCTGCTGATTGAATTATCCTGGTTTATATTAGGGATGTCCCAATCAGATACTCAGTATCGGTATCGGTGGCAGATATGGCCATTTTCTGAAAATCGGGTAGAATCGGATTTAGTCCTGTGATCAGGCCGATCCAGTTTTCGCGACAGTTTTCAGCATCATCGTGCCTTACAACTGCCGTTAAGTCAAGACGCACACAAGTATGCAACCGAGTCCACAGTGTGGGAACACTTTTCAATGGAAAACAATGATGCTGAAATGCCATCTTGCAAAATCTGCAAACTGGATGTTTCTTGTGGTGGGAACAGCAGGGCTTTCTTTAATACTACCAACCTTGTCACTTGGAAAGAAATAAAACTATTGGATCGGTATCAGAAAGACTAATCATTAAAAAAACTGGATTGTATTGGGAGCCAAACAGTCTGGATATGGACATCCCTAGGTTATATAGTAACTCTAATGTCTGTGTGCATGAGTGCATGAATGGTCTCTGTGTGGTCCTGTGATGAATTTGCAACCTGTTTAGGTTGTACAACTGTCTCTCACACAAAGACCACTGAATATAAGCACCCATAAAGAAAAAATGGTTGGAAGAAAATGGATGTTTATTTCCTTGAACCATTGATTTCAACACATGTTGAACCAAGCTACACCTGTGTGCAAATACTTTTAGCTTGGGGAGAATTGAGAGCTACCACCATATTCTGGTTAATTATGTTAGAAACAAAGTGTACGTCTAAACTTCCCTTTTGTGTTTTGTTTTCTGCCCCTTTTATTTTTGTGTCTGAACCAGTTTTAACTTTTTTTCACTCATACAATATCAGAAATTGACATTTTTGCATTCAAAGCACAAGACCTTAATTCATTATCCTTTCAGTAGTTGTATAAAAATATTCTGTGCATTTTTTTAAAAAAATCACCCTGTTAGAAAATGTACTTATGCTATAAATACAGAGAGACTAACTGTTGGTTAAAAGGATATAATCTTTACAAAACATGGGAAAATAATTCAACCGTGCCTTGGTTTCCTCTCCCTCTTTCCTCTCCTCTGTTCTTTTATCTATTGTTTTACTTTATAAATCGTTTGTAGGCCAGCGAGCTTCCCCTGGAGGAGCTGCTGGCTTTGTATGGATATACAGTGTCAAATCCAGAGAAGGAAACATGTCTGATAACCACCAGCTTACCAGACATGAGACAGGACAAGGTAAGACCAAATTAAACCAACATCCAGCTTTGTTTGTGTTTCTGTTGGGGATCACTCAATCAAAACTATGAAAATAAATACATATACTTTGTTAAAACGATTTGCTTTGTTCTGTTGTTTGCTTTATTATATTTTCTGTTTTTTTATGTACAGGATCAAATAACTAAAGACCTGTTTCATGGAAAAGAAGGGTCAGCTTGTGATCTCACCTCCTCAAACACCTCAGATCTGCTGTGCTGCCTTAAGGGTAAAGCACACAAAGACATGAACACACAACTTAATCACACTAAAATCAAAAACACAGGAAGGGTTGACAATGAACAGCTGGTTTTATAATTATTGTTCAAATCTAAAAGTTAGGTTATTTTCTTAAGAAATTGAATAATTGTGATACGGCTCTTTCACAAAATAGTTTGTCCGTCTTCAAGTACAACATATTAAATGTAGAGTTATGACATTTGAGAATGATCCGAATCATTTCAACGGCTCCTTAAAATGAATTATAAGAACAGAGTTGTGGACAGTACAGATCTGTTTCTAGTTTTTGTTTGTTTGTTTGTTTTACTTCTTCTAATATATACACTCCTGATCAAAATCTTAAGACCAGTCAAAAAAGTGCAAGAATTTGCATTTTGCACTATTGGATCTTAAGAAGGTTCTAAGTAGAGCTTCACAATGTTAAAAGAAGAAATCAGTGCAAGAGACAAGAACTTTTGAGCAGGGAATTGTCTGAAAACTGCATTTACACAATCGTGCCYTCCCTGCCCATATGCAGTGTCATGGTGCATGTTCGTGCACCATCAAATTTTTATGACTCTGCACTCCATTTGAATAGTTTGTCTGTGAAGAATTTCTTATCCTTTTTACAACATTTCAGAAGTTATAAATTATACTATGTACTATTGTACATCAACGTAAGCATCGTTTAAACGCTTACACTGCTTGCAAGCGTGTACGCGCTGTCAGCTGAGCCCTGCGCGACACTCAAAAGCGCGACTGTTAAGTCTTAAAGGAAGCCATTTTTGTGAAGAGGGACCACCCGTTGATAAACGGGTGGAGCAGGGCTGTACAGTGCGACATATATGTCGCACGTGCTATGAAAAAAACTGTCTGTGCTATAAAGAAAAAGACGTAGCACTGGTGCGACAGCTTTGGAAGCCGCTTTTTTTTCTGTTCATCCGTCCGTAATTTTTGTAATGCATTAAATTCCCGCATACAATAAATTCTAGCGATGTGTTTGATTCAGATTGTTTTAAATGAAAACCCGTTCTGTATAAACCTGACTTGGTTCAGAAGACGCACGGAGGAGAGAGAGTGAGAGGAGAAGGAGGGGGCTTCCCCTGCTTCTGTACCTCGGAGCGAGGCAGCGACAGACCCGTCGAACTTTGGCTACGTTCACACTGCAGGCAAATCTGACCCAAATCCGATTTTTTTGCCCCGTCTGACCCATATCCGATTTTTTTTATGACAGTCTGAACGCGACAAATCCGATTTTTTTTCAAATCCGACCCAGGCCGTTTCAGTATGTGGTTTTAAATCGGATACATATCTGGGGTCGGATTTATAAAACTGGCGTACGCACAATTTGAGCCCAGGGGTCAGATTTATAAAACTGGCGTACGCACAATTTGAGCCCAGAAACTTGCGTACCCCACTTTTTACGCCAAGGTTGTGATTTATAAAATCCAAACTTGACGTGAAAATGTGCGGTGCCTCACGCCAGCTCTGACCCACACTCATAAAAATAAGTCATTGGA